ACAACATTCTATTTCCCATAATACCTATATAATTCAAGCATTCTATCAAGATTTTACCCTATATAAATTCAACATTTTATTATTATCACAGTAATAGACTATTCACCTCCTCTCATGCATAGCCTTTGAATAATCTCTATGTTTATTATTTTTCTCTCATACCTTGTCTTTCACCCTATACTCAAAGATCCAGTAAGTAACACCCAAATCTAAATAACTGGGCCTGAATGGCCAGTGCAGTGGCTCAAGCCTATAATCCCAACACCTTGGGAAGCCAAAGCAGGCAGATCATGAGGTCAGGAGTTTGAGACCAGCCTGGCCAACATGATGAAACCCTGTCTTCACTAAAAATACAAAAATTAGCTAGGCATGTTGGCACATGCCATAATCCCAGCTACTTGGAAGGCTGAGGCAGGAGAATCGCTTGAACCTGGGAGGTGGATGTTGCAGTGAGCCAAGATCACACCACTGCACTCCAGCCTGGGCAACAGAGTGGGACTCCATCTTGGGGGGAAAAATAAATAAATAGATAAGCAACTGGGCCTGACCTAAACTTTATTTCTGACTTTCAATTTCAAACCGGGTTGGTTTTTTTTTTTTTTTTTAAGATGGAGTACCTTTTGCCCAGGCTGGAGTAAAGTGATGTAGTCTCAGCTCTCCGCCTCCCAGGTTCAAGTGATTGTCCTGCCTCAGCCTCCCCAGTAGCTGGGATTGCAGGCACCCACCACCACACCCAGCTAATTTTTGTATTTTTAGTAGAGATGGGGTTCCACCATGTAGGCCAGGCTGGTCTCAAACTCCTGACCTCAGGTGATCCATCCACCTCAGTTTCCCAAAGTGCTGGGATTACAGGCATGAGCCACCATGCTCTGCTTCAAACCGGGTATTTCTAAATAAATTCATCATTCTAAACCTTAACAGTTTTCATTTCAAACTTGAATCATTATAATGGTTTTGTGAATTATTTCCTTCTAAACAACTACCAAACTAATTTTCTAAAGACGGTGCTTTAGACATTACATATTCTTTTGCCCAAAAACTTTGGATTATTTGAAATATCCACACAATTTAAGTCATACATCAGCACTTCTCAGCCTGTTTCTTACCTACTGCATAAATCCTCCATTCTAGTCAAATGGTTCTGCTGTCATCTTTTTTTTTTTTTTTTTTTTTTTTTTTTTTTTTTTTTTTTTTTTTTTTTTTTTTTTTTTTTTTTTTTTTTTTTTTTTTTTTTTTTTTTTTTTTTTTTTTGAGGCAGAGCCTTGCTCTGCCACCCAGGCTGGAGTGTAGTAGCCCGATCTTGGCTCACTGCAACCTCCACCTCTTAGGTTCAAGCAAATCTCCCAAGTAGCAGGGACTACAGGCATGCACCACCGTGCCCAGCTAATTTTTATACTTTTTGTAGAGATGGGATTTTGCCATGTTGCCCAGGCAGATCTCAAACCCCTGGGCTCAAGCGATCCACTCACCTCTGCCTCCCAAAATTCAAGGTGTGAGGCACCAGGCCCAACCTGCTGTCATCTTAGCTATGTCCCTTGCTTGAGATGACCTTCCCCCCACTGCCCACCTTTCTCCTTTATAGCTTGTTATTTAAGAACTAGTTTAAATTCCATCCTTAACAAACCCTGAGTGATAAAACCATATTTGAAACCAAGGATTCTCGACTCAGGACCCATATCTGGCTTCAGGGAATGCTTAAACTCCCTATAATTGTGTTCAAATTTTTGTGTGCATATTCATTATATCATTAGAGTCTTATCAGCATGTGCTAATTAGATTGTATTTATTTATTTATTTTGAGAGTCTGGCTCTGCAGCCCAGGCTGCAGTGCCGTGGTGCAATCCTAGCTCACTGCAACCTCCACCTCCCAGGTTCAAGTGATTCTCCTGCCTCAGCCTCCTGAGTGGCTGTGATTACAGGCGCCTGCCACCACACCCAGTTAAATTTTTTTGTATTTTTTGTAGAGACAGGGCTTCTCCATTTTGGCCAAGCTGATCTGAAACTCCTGACCTCAGGTGATCTGTCTGCTTCAGCCTCCCAGAGTGCTGAGATTACAGGTGTGAGCCACCACATCCAGCCCCCTTGTGTTAATATTTATATTTTTTACATATATGCTACATTTTAACCAGATTGTATGTACACTTAAGCATAGGAGTAACCTTGTTAAAATTCTCTGTAGTCTCAATTTTGTTTCTTTTTCCTCTTTTTAGAGAAAGGGTCTCACTATGTTGCCTGGGCTGGAAGTACAGTGGTACAGGCCTGGCTCATTGCAGCCTTGACCTTCTAGGTTCAAGACATCCTCCTGCCCCAGCCTCCTGAGTAGCTGGGACTACAGGAACACATCACCATGCCCAGCTAATTTTAAATTTTTTTATAGAGGCAGAATCTCACTATGTTGCCCAGGCTGATCTTGAACTCCTGGGCTCAACTGATCCTCCTGCCTCAGCCTCACAAAATGTTGTGATTACAGGTGTGAGCTACCACAGCCAGCCTATATTCTCAAATTTTTGAGTAGCTACATATGCTACATTGTTCTAACTGTTGGGATGCATCAGTAAACAAAAATTCCTCACTCATGGATTTCATATTCTTGCAGGGAGAAGACAGAGGATAAGCAATAACAGAAACACAATAAGCACAGCTAAGTACCTCGTGTAGTGATTAGCGCTAGAAAAAAGAAGTAGGTCAGGGTAAGAGGGATTGAGAATATGTCAGGTAATTTGCAGTTTCAAATATGGTGGCCAAAATAAGCCTCTTTGAGATACTGACATTTCTGCAAAGATTTGACAGAAGTAAGGGAGTGGGCCATGGGAGGAACTGAGGAAATAGTGGACCAAGAACAGGAAAAAACCA